TTTGTCTGCACCCAATTAAGTGCCAAAGCATGGCGATATTTAAAAAATGACATTTTTTACCAAAAAAAAACTTAGAAAGGAGGCCAACCTAAGCACTTGTCCCTTTGAACATTTGTCAAGATTGTAACTCTGAAAGCATTAAAAAGCTTGATTCCTTTGATATTTTTGAACTCACATTTACAATTTGATTCAATTGCGAACAATACTTTACAACATTTTTATCATTTCTCTCTCCTGAATCAGGAAAAGAAAAAAACATTTTCAACAGAACAATCAGATATGAAATGTCTGTAAAGCCCAAGCTCGAGAAGCAAATGGGGCACGATCGATTCCATGGATCAGATTGGCAGGCGAAGCACGAGACTCCGTCAAAAATAAATCATAATTCATTCAGATTGCATGCATCTTAGACATACTTAGGTGCATCACATTCATCATTTTAGCATACATAATTTTGCAGCTTTCAGAGTCAAGCTTCGACTTCAGGATGAAGGTTACTCGACTTGTAAGCACCTTTAAAGAACGATGGTGTAACTCAGCAGCAAGAAGCTACACCTCAATCGACTTTAATCTCAAACCAATTTCAGATGGGTTCGAGAACCAGTTCAGATCAAATCTAGTTCGGTTCAAACCCCCAGGAGCAACATGTTTTCAGTTAACACTTTAAGCCAGATTTCAATTCCACGACGGAAGATATCCGGCTGTCAGAATTTATCAGTAGGTTTTCCCAGACCAGCTTAGGGGAACCACCGGAAGAATCATGACCGTTTTCGACCCATAAAGGGAAGCCATTTTAAACAAACTATTTGCAGCTTAGCTCAAGGCCAGAAGGCTATGCCCACCAAGACCTTCGAGTTCGACTACGCTCAGCTCCAAGGCACATCATTTGCAGTATAGCTTAATTTAGAAGAGCTATCTGCCAAGACCCTTAAGTTCGATTACACTCAGCTTCAAGGGCATAACATTTACAGCATAACTCAAGGCTGAAGGGTTATCTGTTAGCAAAGACCTTTGAGTCGACTACGCTCAGCTCCAAGGCACATCATTTGCAGAATAGCTTAAGTCGAGAAGGGCTATCTGCCAAAGACCCTCGAGTTCGACTACGTTCAGCTTCGAAGGTACATCATTTGCAGTATAACTTAAGTCAAGAAGGGTTATCTGCTAACAAAGACTTTGAGTTCGACTACGCTCAGCTCCAAGGCACTCATTTGCAGCATAACTTAAGTCGAGAAGGGTTATCTGCCACTAAAGACCCTTAAGTTCGATTACACTCAGCTTCAAGGGCATATCATTTACAGCATAACTCAAGGCTAGAAGGTTATCTGTCACCAAAGACCTTCGAGTTCGACTACGCTCAGCTCCAAGGCATCATTTGCGGCACAGCTTAAGTCTAGAAGGGTTGTCTGCCAACAAAACCTTCGAGTTTGATTACACTCAGCTTCGGGGCACATCATTTACAGCATAACTCAAGGCTAGAAGGGTTATCTGTGACCAAAGACCTTTGAGTTCGACTACGCTCAGCTCCAAGGCACATCATATGCAGCATAGCTTAAGTCGAGAAGGCTATCTGCCAAGCCCGAGTTTGATTACACTCAACTTCGAGTCATATCATTTACAACATAACTCATGGCGAGAAAGGTTTTTGTCAATAAAATTGTCGAGTTCGACTCTATTCAGCTCGACGATACCTCAATCACACTACTGTTCGGCTGCAATCAAGGTTTTCAAGTCGAGAAGAAGACCTGGGTTAACCGTGCCTTAGTGACAAGAAACTGCTTTCCGACAGCATAACTTAAATCGAGAAAAGCTATCTGTCACGAAACCTTTCGAGTTCGATGTCATTCAGCTCAAAGGTCTATCACCATATGTGGAGTCAAAGAACTACTTTCTAGTCGAATTTTTAAACTAAAGTCTTTAAATCGAGAAGAAGACCGAAGTTAATTGCAATTTGGCAACGAAAGCCACATTCCAATTTCAAATTCCGAACTACGACTTTTCATTTCGAGACGGACTCGACTTCGCTACGAATGAGCCATTCATAACCCATTCGATAGGTTTTCGTTCCACGAATTCATTTTACGAAAAAGGACAAAGAGGGCACTGTAGACACTCATTTCCGTTTATATCTTTTTATTTTTTATTATATATTTTCGAAAACATTTGAAAATATATAATATAGTTTTGAAACATTTTGAAAACATTTATATATATATAATTTGTTTAAAACGTTTTTTACAAAAATATAATATATAGTTTTCAAAACCTTTTGAATATATATATTATAGTTTTTTTAAAACATTTTGAAAAAATATATAATATATAGTTTTCAAAACATTTTGAAAACATATATATATATAGTTTTTTTAAACATTTTGAAAATAAATATATAATATATAGTTTTTTTAAACATTTTGAAAATTAAATATAGTTTTGAAACATTTGAAAATTATATATATAGTTTTGAAAACATTTTTGAAAATATTTATATTATAATACATTTGAAAAGTTATATTATATGTTTTTGAAAATTTTATATATATTATTATTATTATTATTATATTATTATTATTATTATTCCTATTTATTTATTTATTTTTTCTTTCTCTCCATGGTCCATCGTTTTGGTCCAACAAAAGTCCAGTCAGGTTGGGCCTGACCAGCCCGTCTAGGTTTAGGGTTTGGAAACCCTAAAGTGATATCAAGTTAACAATTCAGGCGCCGCATGGAGAACAAGTCACGCGTCAGTCAAACGCCGAAACGGCCGGCCGATTATCCCGGGACTGACCCATCCCGGGTTGGTCGAATCACGAACGGCATGCACAGGAATAGTGGAACCATCACAGCACTCATTTCGGGAGTCAAGCGACCAACACCGGGCTATAAAAGCCCCCGGTGAGGCCAACAAGAGGGAGGATGGAGAACAGTACAAACAAGACCCAAACCAAAACCACATTGAATATCACAGAACCGAGAGAACATCGGCCACGGGAACCAAGAACCCATAACATCACAAAGACCATCAACACAAAAAACCACCAAATACCAACAACCGAGAACCCACAAATACATTAAACAAATCGACACACAAAGGTCGAACACAACCAATACACAAAACCGAAGTACCAACCAAAGGCCTCGAGAAGCTATCGGAAAACCAGAAGGCGTCGGTTTTAAGGTAAAAGACCGAACTTAAGGCGTAGATCTACGCCGTTTGGGGTCCCTTCAGGGGAAACGGGCTTTGGATCGGGGTTTAGAGTGACAAGGCGAGTGTTTCGGGCTAAGTGGTTTCTTTTGGCCACCGCCGTGGTGCCGGCACGGTGGTTGAAGCGGCGGAAGGGTCATCGGGCAGGGGCCGGACAACCCCAGGCGAGAGAACCTCAGAGAGATTTTTTCTCTCAAATTCTGAGAGTTGGAATCCTTTCCGTGACCCCTGCGAGTTTGAGTCGCAATTCATTTCACACCACATTCAATTTGGCCGCTGGTTTTTAATTGTTTCGATTTGGTCCTCATTTATATTTTACATTTCTTGCAATTTGATCCTGAATTCTTATTTATTCATTATTATTATCATGCTTTTTAATTATTATTAGTATTTTTTCTTTTCTCATATTGTTTTCATTTTTACTTTTAAAATAATTTTTTATATTTAATACTTCTTTATTATTTACTTATTATTTAATTAATTTTAATTTTACTTCTTTGGTATATTATTATTTCTCTTCTTTGGTATATTATTATTTTCCTTTGGTTTATTTTTTAGCACTATTTTTTATCTTTTCATTTTTATTTATTTATTCTTTCTATCTAACATCTTTTGTCCTTTTCAGTAAAATCTCAATTAATCAGAGGTAAGCGATTCGAGTCGGATTTCTAAATTTCAATTTAAATTTTAAATTTTCGCAACTAAGACAATCGATAAATTAATTGGTACCGAAAGGGCGGTTCAAGGGTGCTAACCCTTCCTTGACCGTAATCGACTCCCGAACCCGACACGTTTCTGGTACAACGCAGATCAGGTAAGATGGTGTCCGACCCACCTAAATTCATTTTAAAATGGTCGGTGGCGACTCTAACCCAATCCATCCACGTCGAAGCCCAATTCCGGGTCCAACCGAAAGACGGTTGCGACATTAAATTAATTGATAATATCATTAAATAAATAGGAAGAAATATGAATGCAACAAAAAGCATCAAACATGATGAAAATGTAAGCAATTATTATTAATTCATAGATAAAAGGAGTTACTATTTATTGAATGTAACATATGGGTAATTCATACCATAGATCACTTATTTTAACATCCATTTTCAACTAAGAAATTACTTATATTAGACTTGAGTGACTAATAAATTCAATCATTTATGTTAACTTCGAGAACTATTTTTTTTATTGTAGAAATGATTAACAAAACAAATGACCTAATTAAGTGATAATTATCCAACGTGACCAAAGTGAAAACACCTTAAAAGTATAGAGACTACCAGCGTAGTTTACCCTTAAAAATACAAAAAAATGTAAACTACGTTTTTATTCCGATTTGGTCATCCAATTATTTTTCATTTCAAAATCATACCTATCGTTACATTTTTATTTTATTTTGGTCACCAACCGTTAAAAAATTAACAGTGATACTAACGTGTCATCATATAGTAATGCCACATCATCATTGAAAAAATTAAAAAATGTCATGTCAACAATTATATTAATTTTTTTAATGATGAGTGACCAAAATGTAATGTTAAGTACAATTTTAAAAAATTAATCGTATGTGACCAAACGGAATAAAAGTGATAGTTTGGATACTAAACTTGTAGTTTACCTAAAATAATTGTTGTCCATGAACTGCTATTTGACCATTTCGATATGTCGATCTATTAAAATCAAATAACGGAGAATTTATAAAAACTTGGCAAACAAGCGAAAACTTTTGACAAGTGTTTTCTTAAGATCACTTGAGTTTTGAATCTACTTAGAAATTTTCACTCACTAAAACCTCACGATGAGTTCCATGGAAATCGAGTTCCACCAATATCAACTCCGCTGCCAATTACGAGGCCACGAAGACGACGTAAGATCTCTATATTTCCCTTCTCAATTATATATTCGCCATTTTTTTTAAAAATTTCGATCAGTTAGTTTTTTGAAAAAATAAGTTGCTGAATTCTTATTATTTATATTTAGGTTCGTGGAATATGTGTTTGTGGAAGTGAAGGTATCGCCACTTCTTCAAGAGACAGAACGGTTAGGTTCTGGTCGCTTGATTCGTCAGATAAGCGTAAATATGTTTCGTCTAAGATTCTTTTAGGGCATTCAAGTTTCGTTGGTCCATTGGCTTGGATTTCTCCGGATGAGGAGTTCCCGGAAGGTGGAATTGTGTCCGTTGGAATGGATACTATGGTTTTTGTTTGGGACTTGAGGACTGGAGAGAAAGTGGAGGCATTGAAGGGTCACCGATTGCAAGTTACTGGTGTTGTATTGGATGATGGGCGTCGTAACCGTTTTTCGGCGGGGATAATCGTTTAATTGGTTTAAAAACAAGTTACGACTTTTTATTTTGGAAAATAGGTGATTTTGGAGTAATTTAAAATAAATTGAAAAGAATCGCCATCAACCTTTGGGTTAGGTAGGTCGAATACCTAAAAACGTCTTTTAAAAACAATTTTAAGAAAAATCATTTTTAAGACAAAAGTTGGTCTGCGTTTACCAAAGATTCGTTTAAAACGGGTTCGAGAGTCGGTTATGCGTGGGGAAGGATTAACACCCCCACAGCGCCCAAAATTGGTACTGTTTCGCTTACACGTTGTCGTAATGGTAGAAATTATGAATTCAAATATCAAGTTAAAATATGATCCGTTTATTGAAATTTAATTAATTTACTTCAGATTAATAACTTAAAGAAATAAATAAAAAAATAAGTAATTAAACTTATAAGAACCAAAATAATTAGAACAAAAACTTAAAGGGTTAATAAACCAAAATAAAAAAATTACTAACATTAAATAACACATGTACTAAAGTGAAAATAATCCAAAAATGAAATTTAGAACTAAAGTGCAACAAATCAAAAACTTGAAGGCTAAATCACAATTAAACCAAATTAAAACAAGGACTAAAACGATATATTTACAAACATCATAGCCAAATTCGAATAATATAAAAAATACACAAATATATTAAATCAATGACTAATATATAATATTTATAAATATTATGCACAAAGTCAAATATTAACATAACATGTAATAATGTTGAGTTATGCACATGAAGATAACATACAATATTAATTAAAAGATGCCTTGTACTTAATTTATATATTAAAATGAATAAAACTACATATGTAATTTATAAACAATCAAAAACTAATAATAACTACATATTGTTAAGAAAATATACATACACATTCTAATAATAACATACAAAAAAATAAACAAAATATACATGAGTAAATAAAAATATATACATATGTGCAATAAAATGTATAAAATATATGACTATATACAAATTATAAAACGTTAATATATATATAAAAGTCATGTAAATATTCAAATATGCATATATATATATATATATATATAACACCAATGATAATATGGAAACCTTAAACAATATTACAAAATAAAATTATTTACACATACGTGGTGATTAAGAAGGCTAAAGGATGTTAATAATAACTTGTAAATATAAACTACAAAATCAACATCAAATCAAGATAATAATTAAATATCAAACAATATATATACTAACAATGAAAATAACTCACAAAACAATATTATAGATTTAAATAAAACACACACCATACTTATAAAATGATCAAAATCAAATAATATAAAAAAATTAAAATGAATTAATAGAAAATGTATAATACTAAAACATGAATAAATTAAAGTAAGATAGTTAGATCTCAAATATAAGCATAATTATTCATATAAACAAGTAAGGACGAAATTAAAATTATCAATAGCTAATAGACTTGAAATGAAAATTTCATTAATGACCAAATTAAAATAATACAAACCAAGAGGGTATGCTTCATTAATATTCCATATATGAAGCATTAAATTTTTGCTTGGTATTTTAACCAAGAAACCTACGTGCGTGAGAACCAAAACCCCCTTCCTTCTTTTCTTCCTTCACGTATATCTCTTCCCCTTGTTGGTGACTTTCAGCGTGCCCCCCAAACAAGGATTGATTGGGGTTTTTATAGCCCCAATTCTCACATGCTTTTACATAAAATAATACAATTTTCTGGGTGTTTGATGCATCAGACATGCATTTATCCATTTAGTGCCAGGAAACAAAGGATAGTGGTAATTTAGGTATGGTGGGGTAAGATATAATAAAAATGGTGCTTGGTGGAGTCATGAAATACGTGAATGGTGGAGTGGGTGGAGTATGGGTAGTGGAGCATAGTAAAAAAAATGATGCTGACAACTGCCCCTCTTTACTTTTTGTTGTGAAACGAGAATGAAGCAAAGATAATAAAGCATCATTTTATCTTGGTCTCTTCTTGTCACACTACGAATCTCTTCACTGGAATGTCAATTCTTCTTCTTCTACAAAATCGTCGAGTCTTTGCTGCAAATGATGTCACTTTGCTTCGTTCTCTTAGCTGAGTCTTCATCTTCGATTCTTCAGGTTATGGGTTATTCTCATTACGATCTTTCTCCTTTAGGACGAGTTCTTCTCATTATAAACTCTTCTGGAAATGTCAATCCCTCAAGCGAGGCATCACTGATTCGAAATGTCGTGAATCGAGTGATATGTCAAACAAGCTCTTCTTATTATGAACTTTTTCTCCAACTGTTGGATGAGTTCTTCTCATTATGAACTTTGTACTGGAAATGTTGATATATTTATATTCTCTTTGAAAATTTTCAGACCTACAAAAGATTATCATGTGTCAGTAATAATTGTGTTTGAAGTACCCGAAGGTATTGGCCCAAAGGTTTTATCATCTTGCTCGAAAGGCTTACAGATGACCCAAAGGATTTAAAAATCAAGAAACCCCCGAAGACTTAGTTTCTTAAAATTTCATTTGAAAACATCCTGCACTGATGGTCTTATGGATGACCCGAAGGACTTAGAAATCAAAAACCCCCGAAGGCTCAGTTTCTTAAATCTCATTTGAAAATATCCTGCACTGAAGGTCTTATGGATGGCCCGAAGGACTTAAAAATCAAGAAACCCCCGAAGGCTCAGTTTCTTAATTGTCATTTGAAAACATCTTGCACTGAAGGTCTTATGGATGGTCCGAAGGACTTAAAAACTAAGAAACCCCCGAAGGTTTAGTTTCTTAATTATCACCAAGGAACCCCTACATATCACGATGGTTCCTCAAGCTTTTCATCAAGAAACCCCTACATATCACGATGGTTTCTGAAGCTTGTCATCAAAGAACCCCTACATATCACGATGGTCCTTCAAGCTTTTCATCAAATTTGTCATCAAGGAACCCCTACATATCACGATGGTTCCTCAAGCTTTTCATCAAGAAACCCCTACATATCACGATGGTTTCTCAAAATATTGTCGAGCGAAACTATCTCAAGCGAGATAAAATCTTATGTTTCAAGTGAAACAATCTCAAGCGAGATAAAATCTTCTGTTTCAAGTGAAATTGTCTCAAGGGAGACTATCTCAATGGAGACAAAATTTGTTTCAAGGGAAACCGTCTCAAGGGAGACAAAATTTGTTTCGAGGGAAACTATCTAAAGCGAGATAAAATCTTCTGTTTCAATGAAAAACAATCTTGAGTGAGATAAAATCTTCTGTTTCAAGGAAAAACAATCTTGAATGAGATAATATCTTCTATTTCAAGGAAAAACAATCTTGAGCGAGATAAAATCTTCGTTATTAAATAAGACTGTCTCAAGCGAGACAAAATTTGTTTGAAAATGTTGAATCTGAAGATGATTATTCCCTCTTGCAGAGGATGTCTTGTTGTCTTTTACTCTCATTTTTTCCTGAAAGATCTACAAAAATGTAGCTGAATGAAACTATTATGAATGAATGTTTGATGCAAAGATGCAAATTCATGTAGGTGTAATGCATGACTTTTTTATATGCAAATAATGCTCTTATGAATGCAAAAAATGTGATGCAATCTTCATTTAACTTCAAAGTGGCCATCTTGGTCTTCTTCTACTTGATCACTTCTTCCGAAAGTCTACTAAAATATTCATGTAGCAACTCATAATTTCTAACTTGCATTTTTGAAGATCCATCTAATCTTCTTCTCTCTTCTTGTCATCTTCGTTTTCTGTCTTCATTTCGGAGAAAACATTTTCTTTCTCAACTTCTTGTTACGATCAGAAATATGGCTGTGTTGCCCTATTTTCAGAGACTATGAGTATGACTATGCCAAACTCCGTAAAGATCAAAGGGAGAGTTGCGTCAATTCTGATTTGACTCTTGAAACTCGACATCAGGAAGAGCTATCCAAATTTTCATGTCACCACATCTAGTCAAACATCAAATGAGACTCATTTTTAACAACAACCCATCTTTCAGCTTTAGTTGATACTACTAGTCTCTTGCTGTTAAGATTTTATCACCTCTTTCGTGGAAAGAAATTTTCATCATATCTCACTTCTAACCTTGGGGTTGAAGAAGACAAACTTCATCTTGAGTCCACACATAGAAACACCATATGATCGCAACATTGGTTCAGTACCGTAATCACTGATTCGTAAAGCATTTGACAACACATTCATCATTTTCTGTAGCTTCTGCTCAGATTTATCAATTAGCGATGCTCTTTGCATAGTGTTGGAGCTTTTGTAGGGAATCACTTAAGAACAAAGCTCAGTGAGACCGCAAGTGAGATACTTTAACTGCCAGCATCAAATTACCAGAATAATGCAAATTCAAAATGCGTTCGAAATTGTTTATTGTTGATATGAGCCTTCAATATGAACTTTCAAAATACCCCCACATGAATCATTTTTTTGTCTGAAATGGGCCTTCAAAATGCCCCAACATTCTATTTCTGATTGAAATGGACCTTTAAAATATCCCAACCTTTTCATGCTAGTGTGAGCCTTCAATATGCCCCACATGGATCATTTCTGTCTAAAATGGGCCTTCAAAATGCCCCATTCTTCAAGTTAAAAGGTTCATTCTCGATGTCTATTGAATTTGAATCTCATGATTCCCACGAGGTACAACTTTGATAATACCCCTATTTGTGGATCATTGTGGCTCTATTCGTGCCCAAATTTGTTTATCTTGAATGCTCTCATTCTGGTGTTACTAAAAATAATGTTTTCAAGTAACTTCAAGGGATTATCTTCTGCTTGATTGGTCGCATTCTTACCTTTTTGCTACATACTAGGATATGTGCTCATTTTGAATGATACAATCATCGTTTTCATATCAGGTTGCTGATAATGTCACAAGAGAGTGTTACAAGTTCTCCTCCAGCCCTCCTGATCTTCCGGAACACTTGCTTTCAAGAATGTGAAGTGCTTCCTCATTCTTTTTCTCAAGTAGAGGCATAACAATCCTCAACTTAATTTAAGAAC